AGAGGTAGCTTGGTGAAATTTTTCACATTCAAACTATGTCCTAGTCAAGGCTCTGCCACTAATTAGCTATTATATCTTTGACAAATTACCTCACCTTTGAGCCTCAGTTGCCTCACCTGTAAAATGAGGGGGATGAATTAGATACTCTCTAAGTCACTTCCAGCTCTGACATTCTATGATTCTATTATGCTGAAAAGAAACACTATGTTAAGTGTATTGAAACTGACTATTACAGTATAATGAAACTGATTATGGACAGGGGAATAAGCCAATTGTTTCTATTGAGAGCTCACTAAATTTGAGAATAATTTTTTCAGATTTTTAAAAATAAATATTTTTAAGGGTCTGACTTACTTATTTATTGCAATTTATGTCTTAACTATGAGAAATACCAAAGATGAATGGGAGTCACTGAAAGAGTTACTAAGAATTTCTTCTAAATTTTAGCTCAAATTTCCAGGTCAAGGTAAAACCCACAAGGGGTAAGAGGGTATTAGCATGGGAATTAACATTTATAGCAGAAGCTTTACATATATGATCTCCTGAACTCCATAACCTTGTAAGATAGGTATTAGTCTCATTTTACAGATGAAGAAGTTTGAGTTTCTTTAAGCTTATTTACTTCTTTTTTTAGCTCCAGTTAATGGAGAGAAGTTGAGTTTTTATATTCCTTCCTATTTTCTTAGTTCTCTAATAGCAATGATATGCAACCTATCCCATTTCTCTATACCCCTTTCACCCTTCTCCATTCAACACCTGGGTAATCAGGAAATAAAACAATATTTGGATCTAAGGGCACAACATATTCAACTAATGCTGGGGTGGTAATCTTCATTCAGAGAGTTCAAAATACAATTTGTATCCACTAAAATGAAAACAGAAAAAACTACCAAATTTAAATAACATAACAGCACAAAAATATCATAATATACAGGGCCAAATCAGATTATATACACTCACTACACCTACTACACATGTCACCCGCACCCCCAACCAAGGGGAAGAGGAAAAAACCAATTCTATCAGGAAAAGCAATACAAAGCATTAATTAATAACTGAATTTACTCTATAAATGCTAAACCCATTTCTCAAAAAGTAAGACAGGCTTTTCAGCACACTAAATCATTACAAATAAAGATAACTATTACAAAGCAACTTGAATCTTCACATGACCAAAATGTAGTCAAATAGGTGGTTGCTTGAAATCTTAGTCAACTTATACAGAAAAGGAATGTCCACATGTAGATACTGAGAGTTGTTGGGGAGGGGGGCACACAGTTGGATCTGATTATATTTTTAACCTTGCAAATGATCATTTTACTTGATTATATGGAAAGGATTTGGTGCTTTTTATAGTGGGAGCATAGACAACACTGGTAAGTCTCCAAAAATTTGATTAAGAAGTTGGAGTGCTGAATGATTTAAGAACCCAAAGCAACAGCATTTCTAAACAATTCTTTAAAAATAAACTTGTTAGCCACATCAGCTTCATGCATTAAATTCACAACTCATGGAGAGAGAAAAAAGTCTTGCTTAACTCTAAACATGTAGGTCTTAAAAGAAGAATTTAATGAACTGAGGCTCCCAAACAGGAAAAGTCTTAGGTTAAAACAATTCAGTCTTTGATTTCTTGGCTAACAACTAGATTGAACTACCTATCTGACCTGGAGCTGTAGTGTCCTGGAAAACATAACTGAAAATTTTAACACTTTTCTTACCTTGTAGGAAGCTTTAATTTAAATCTTAGGTTATACAGTCAATTCAACTTAATGACTAGCATAAATTA